ACAACCAAAATTCTGACCTAGATGAGCAAACAAGCAGCAAGAGCTTAGTGTAATTAGTTCCTTTAAGTTAAGTTAAGTTATCTTGACAAATTCAACGTAAATTTCTAACCACTCAAAATAACCTGGTTAAAGGCTAATGGGTCATCTTATTTTTAACAACAACCCAGTGTAACTTAATTTCCATCGGCTTGACAACCCCGTCCCTGACTCCACCAAAATCCACGCGCCCACTTACTCGAACTTTCTGCAAGAATTAAGTACTTAATTTTTGTTAATTATTCCATAAAGCGCGCTTCACTATTGCCGAGGCGGAAAATTGAGAAGCTAAAACGTCGACGTCCGAGACGTTTTTCTTTTGCTCACCTCGCGGTTATTGGCACGAGATTATAGCGGCTGCGCATGCGTCGCAATATCGCTCATACAAACACGCTTCCACGTTTTGGAACAAATATTGGTCAATACAACAAAAAAAATATGATTCATTTTAGCAAATACACTCTCTGTTTAAACTGTACATTTATAATTAATCTATCGAATATTATAGAAAAATATAATTTATACTAAAAATATTTTAAAAAACAAATAATCTTAACACCGACAGAAAAACACCGAGATTTATATTAATCGTTAATAAAATGATACCTAATCCATTATTATAATATCAAGACTTCATTTTAAGTAACTACTGCAAAAATCTTAGTTTGATAGGTGTAATCAAATTAACTTATAAGTCTTATGATACATTTTATAAGGCAAAACGTAACGATTGTTTGATATGTTTCTGCATATTTGGTTAACAATTATTAAACAACTATAAATTAACAAATTTTAGCAATTACACTGTAAACAACTATCATGTCCTATAAGTCCTTGATGAATTTAAAACGGCGGTCATATCTTTGTTGCATCATGAGTTGAACTTACTTTAGGACTGAGTTTAGTTTCTTGCTTTACATGCAACCTCAACCATAAAATGGTTGGCAACGCTTCTCTGATTTCTTCAGGGCAATCCACTAATTTACTATAAACTTTCAATATTGTCAAACATCAAACATTTAGAATTTAGAGCGTTGTTTGACCTTCCCTGTATGATTCACTAGTCTTTTTTATTACTCCAAATGGCCACGACTACATAAGGTCATGCGGCCAGCTTACAAAAACAGGTAACGATAGTTCAAAATTCGTAAAGGATGCCTTCATAAATGAAGGGTCTGGAAAGCTCCATCATGCTCTATATGCATTAACATATACATAGTGGAATAACACAATACAAATCCATATACACTGCGCCTCTATCGATTCAGTGAAGAGATATACAAAACATTTTCAGGTTCTTCTTTCTTTCTTCTTCACTTCTAATGGCCACGACTACATAAAGTCATTCGGCCAGCTTACACAATTGTAAACATTATTCAAATATCCTTAAGAACACCTTCTTAAGAGAAGGGTCTGGACCAATCCATCATCCTCCGGATTTGTTGCATATACAAAATGGAATTTCAACAAAAAAATGGTTCTTTGACCGATTAGAAAAAACGGCCTCCTCCGCTTCCCTCGCTGACCATCCGGGTCCATCCGGCCTCCATACCGGCGTGAACAGGAAAAAACGACGGAGTCGACCACGATTATAACTTTAAAACATTCACTGAACACTAAACACTAAATCCACACTGTGGATACCAATTTCAAAGTTTTTGGGGACGATTACAAGGGATTCTGTTGGGAGCGAACAGAGGTTAAACCTCCGCGTGCAATGCTCCACCACAGAATCTACTCACGAGGTTATGTACGTTTCCTTTAACGTTTTTTGGGTTTCTGTTCTGTTCACTTTTCCAGCTTATTAGCGAAGTACGCCCAAGTGATTTACAATTGATATGCACGCATGGGTTTACAAAGCTCGCGATAAATATCCGAAATTTCCTAGCCGTGAGGGGGACGTCAGCGTCGCCGTACTCTGTTCCAGTGTTGCCTTTTAAAAGCAACAAATTATTTTAATTACGACAAAGTTATTGTTCGTAAGGGAAATTAACAACGGGCGGACGTTTATCGGTCCCGCGGGCGTCGTCGTAGAAGGCGCGGAATATGGAATTATATCTCTTTCGTTTTGTTTGCTCTGGACTGGTTAAGGAATTGCTGGCGCGCCATCTTTCGGACTTTTTGCGTCGATTCGTTACGTCCGATGACGTTACATCCGTCTGGGGCACTAGCGGTTACACCCCGGAGCGAATACAATGTTGGCCGGGCGGATTTGGTTGTGTATGGCAGGGTGGAGTTGGAGCCAAAATCCGTAAACACGGTGGGTTGTCGCTTCCCCACGTCTCAGTTCTTACAGCTTGTAGTTGGTGACGTCACTTGCGTATTTCAAACGATCTCTTTTCAACTAATTTTATGCGTATAGCGCTGTTCTTTTCTTGTTCACCTAGTAGTAGGTTTAATAACATAGAGTAAGATACTATCTTGAACTCTAAAAGAATAACTAATATTTGAAAGGTTTGCTGTCATTCTTTGGTGAATGTAGCTCTTTCAGCGAAACAGCTATTGAATTCTCACATTCTTTTGATATTTTTGATATGTTTGCCTTCTTATCCGCATCTGAAAATACTTTATTTTTGAGAAAGACAGGTTTTATATATCTGTACTTTATAAAAAAAAAAAAAAATAGTGTGATCTTAGATGCTAATCTCCACGACGATGTAGGTATACATTTATGTATTTCAAAAAAACAAAAACAAAGCGATTTTTTATTATCATTATGTTTAATATTTTTTAAATTAATAATGATACTATGTAGAAATGTAATGAAATAGAACGTAATAAATTGATACTTTGTATTCATTTTTTTCTGTACATGTTTCAAGACTTGCTCGGCGAAAAAGATTGAAAAGATACTTATATCCTGCTTGTTAATATAGGTAGATAAATTACAAGGACGGTTAAGTGTAAGGGTAGGCTCGGCAAGGTATAAGGAGCTGCGGTTTTGGAATAATAAGCAGTAGGCATAGTTAATCACGGGGTCGATTGTAAAACCACTATATTTCTGGTCGAAATATACCTATGACGTAGGCAGAAAAAAATCATTTAATAACGAAATGCAAAACTACCTGACTGTGGTATTTTATTTTATTTTACTTTTAAAATTGTTCAAAAGCCAACAAAGAAAGTAAATTTGCTGGCTTTAGGTCGCAATTCCTACGAAATTTTCTACAAATTGATACCGACAAAATATCTGTGTGCGAGATCGATCTAAGAGTTAGCTAAATAAAAATTATTTCGTAATTCTCGGATGTGATCGTCGAGGGTAACGGAGGGATCTCTCTCACCTTTACATAATAAAGACGGCGATACTTAAAATATCGTTGACACGTATTCATTCTTGTTTGTGAATTGCGTGAGTTAAGTGGTGCGTTATTTTGGATATATTTGGTCTTTAGTCGTATTTTCGGGCAAGTAGCTTCCAATTTTCATATAAATGCAAAGTTGTCCACGCAAAAATATTCTAGTTTTTGGGTTAAATTATCAAAAACACTTTAAATATTCAATGTATAGTAACATTTTAAGATTTTTATTAATATCCAGGTAATAAATTTCATGAAATTATTGTTTTGTTTAATTAACCAATTAATTAAACAACTTTCTAATGTAAATAATTTGGTTTGGTTCTTATATTGACATAAGTATTATGTATGCGGTATGTGTGTGGTAGGCAAATAACCGTAAAAATTATAGCTAAGAATTACCTACGTCCTAAGTGACATTTTTTACTTTTGTTTTCCAAAAATCAGCAAATCGGAACCAGAAATTGCGGTAAAACAGTAAGAAAGATTCCGTGCAAATATAAACTTTTAACGAGTTGGATGTTGAATTTGTCTCCAAAGTTATTTGACTGGCGTTAACTAAGTTTCTAAATTAGGAAGCCGAAATTATTTAAACGAAATTAGCATCTCATTATGATATATATAGTACATTTTCCTATTGCCTAAAAGCGGAACTGAGGTCAATAGAAGCACGCGTCTAATCTCTCTGACAAAAGGGAGGACGAGAAATGTGGTATAAAATTTATTATTTTATTTTCATATTTATTTATTAAAAAATATCTTTGTGTACATTTTAGACTATTCAATTTGTTCGATGACGCAGATCCGCAGTGTTTCTCAACAATTTAATAAAATAGTGATAATTATTGTCATCGCTCTACTTATCTCATTTAAAAGACATTATAATCAATTAAAATGATTGCTTATTCTAAAACCATTACTCGTTGCCCAAATCTCAGGCAGTGAACTAATCGAAATGTTTAGAATGGACACAAAGTAATAAAATCCCAATAATTAGTATTAAATATCATTTACCACTAAATAGAAATAGAAAAGTATATATTTTTTTCTACACTCTGTAATTCTCGAGAGAAACGACATTAGAAAAAATTTATATCTCATTTTCGTCTTATTATTACGCGAGATTTCTCCACGTGCGTGAGAGGTTAGGAAACACCTTGTATAACCAAGTAAAAAAAATTATTTAGAATTGATGAAATTGACATTGAAACATCAGAAAGGTGTGAAACTTATAAAGGATTTTGTTGTATATTTATTTTTAACATAAGACCGTTTTTTGTAAGCGTTTTATTGGGTTCTTGTAGGTATTGAAAGTTATACAATTTGCTGTATAAAGTGTTGCCGATCTAAGATCGACCCCTCTTATGTCCCATAAATATTGTCCTCTCGACGTCACTTTAAACTTCACGTAAAACACTATATCAAATGGTTACGCTGAAATAAATTGTCGACCCGTTATACAATCGCTCGCGCTCCAATACGATGACGTATTGGCCTGTCCGTTGTCTTCCCACCCCCGTTCCAGAAACAGATACTTCCCGAGTCGGATACTATCAAATTCGGCGGACGTGGCGCCATCTACTGTCGCGCATCCCGACCTACGACTCGAGTCGAAGCGTTGGTTGCTCACCGATATCCGCGGACACAACCGCAAACTCTGTCAGTTGTGTCAGTTCGCAGCTGACGTTTGCGGAGGTTTGTCGTTGTGTTTTGGGTAAGCGCGAGCTACGTCCGAAACCCGTCTGGCGGACGATGTTTTTGTAATTTCCGACGAATCGTCCGTTTCCCTTATCCGCGAAACGTTCTGCCCCGAAAAATTGACTGACGCGCCGGGTCGGTGAAATGAAACAGCCCCGTTTCGATGGATTTTATCCCGCGTGTGCGTGTCTAGACTAGTGGGAAAGTGCAATATTGTAGGTAGAAAGTGGATTTCCGTATCTCGGATCTAGTCAATTTTCGCAACCGTTTTCCGAAACAGGTAAGCCCAACGGCATTGTAAAGCTTCCGTCATTTTTTTTTATCTCCGCCCGCGAAGTCTTGGCTTCCAAGCGCGATATATTCGAATTTTTGATGCTAATACACGCGTCGAAAATTTTACGATTGTACAAACGATTGAGAGCTGCCCATTTATTATTATTGGCAAACCGATCAAAAGAAGGGAAAGTGTCGAGTCGATTACAAGGCCAATCTGTGTCCAGCGAATTGATGGTGGGTTTACGTGTGCCCGTGTTTTTTTTTTTTTTTTCGTTTCAAAGGCGGATTCAATGGTTTGCGCTCAAATTGAGGTTGGCCGTTTATTGTTACACGAGGGACGCCGGTTTCTTAATGTACACGCAAGTTATAATGTTGACAATGCACAATACCGGTTGATTTTGCCGTGACCTGTCGCCGATTTGGAGAGAAACGTTGACCCAAATAGAGAGAGAAGCACACAGACAACGATAGTCCAGTCATGGTTGCCCGTCGAAAACTTCACTGGAATTTTTGTTGATTATAATTCTGCTTACAGAAAATAATGCAAAAAATCAAAAACTATCAGCATTTCTTAACGTTGTTTGTTTTATTGTTTCCCATATCATCCTAAAAGAATAAACAAAACCGCTAATATAAAATATAAAAATAGCAGTGCATTTTGCAAAGCAAACTTTCAATAATAAAAAAACCAAGAAAAGTTTATCTATTTTTTATGAGAATGCTCATTTTATAAGCACTTTTCCGTGCTCATTCGTTTTCCACTATTGATAACCCTAATCTAAATCTAGCTATTAAATCATAGCGGTATAGTTTGACTCAAAGTATATAAATTTTGACGTTTGACGGACTCTCCCCAAAAAGTAATTGCGACCTTCATACCTATTGTTACTGGGTAAACTCAAAGACCAATAATTTATTCATATATAGGTAGCGGCTTGGGTAGGCGACAAGGCAGGAGCGAGCCAGGTAGATGTCGGCCACATGTCGGCTGATATAACTGGCATTGTTGAATAAACCGTTTAGAGTCCATTTAGAAAAGACTTGTTGCCAGTATATCGCTTATTTATTCTTTATGTCGCGTCAGAATAATTTGTTATTATACACAAAAGAGAAACAAGAAGCTTTAAAGGAATTCTGCATATTTCGGAAAATTGCCAAAATCATCGATAAGGGTGAACACTACCCGGTCAATAGTGATCAAGATATGATAATTATTTTTATCAAAATGAAGTTTATGTTAATTGAATAACAATTAGCTACTTTTAAAATGGGACAAGAGCAAGTGGTAAAATGGAATTGCCCAGATTGTGCACATGGAGATTATCAAAGATATTAACTGGTTGCGAAAAAGGAACAACCAGATTCCTCACACGAACTCACGTTTCAGAATTTGAAAACTTCGAAAAACTCAATGGGAATCTAAATAATACAAAACCATTTCAAACACCAAATTTCCAACAATTCATTACAAAACGCTATCAAACACCAAACTTTGCGTCAGACTTCGATGATATTTCACCCGAGAAAAAATCCCGATTAAAATTTCTCGCGAAGCAATTTCAATAACTATTACAAAGTGAATCAGTCCCAAAAACTACAATTTTTATCCCAATACACTAAAAACAAATCGGGAAGTTTTCGGACCCCTATAAAATGTCTATAAACCCAAATGAAAATGAAATGAAGGGTATTGTTAATTCTATAGAGTCCGGCGAGTGTCCTGTTTAGGTATTCTGTGACCTCAGCATTGCATTCGATTGTGTAGACCACGACATAATGCTTTTTATTTAAAAGGAAACAATATGTTATAGTAATGTATGAAACAAATGGTGTATGCACTGACATAAAGTCTATGGTAACAATGGGAGTCCCTCAGGGCTCTGTATTAGGACCAGTACTTTTCCTCTGGTATAACGATATCTATGATGAGTAGGTGTAATTCATGTCTGGAAGACAAATGTAATGTGGTTTTGTGTGAGTTAAGCTCTTGATTTAATGATTAATCCACTTATATCATCTTTTATGAAATTCCTTCAGAGTTAAAAGCCATAATGTAAAGTTTCTTGGAATATTCATGGATAAAAACATGAATTTTAACACTCATCGTTCTTCTTTGGTATCGGGGTTACAGCCCAACATCTATTTATTACGCTCATGTTGAGAGTAGGTATGGTATAATTTTGTGGGGATAGTCCACTGATTCGACAAATTTGTTTGTGGTTTAAAAAAGGGCCATAAGATATATGGCCGGCATTTCCAGATCCTACTTCTGGTAAAACTGATTTTTGAAAACTTAATATTTATGTTATATATCCGTTTGAAATGTGTGTTTATGTGTTTCAAAATATATCAGGCTTTGTGCTGAACAGTAATTTTTACTCAGTGAATACAAGATCTAAAGACGACTTTAGAGTTCCGTATGCAAAATATAATAATTCTTATAGAATACCAAATGTAAGTGGTGTGCGATTTTTTAACCTCTTACCGAAAGAAATAAAAATGTGTGATAATTTATTTACATTTTACAAAATGCTAAAGAAATATCTTGTGGTTAAATTCTTTTATTCAGTAGAAGAGTACTGTTTGTAGCCTCGCATTATGTGTCATTTTATTTTATTTTTTTAAACATTTCATTTGTCATTTCGGAATAATGATGCATTAGCCTTGAGAGTCCAGGTCTTGGTACCACAAAATAATACAGACCAAATATAACTCGAAATGTAATATTTGATCATTGTTTGCATTGCAGATGAACGGTTTCATTGTCAAAGAAGTCGTGCGAGCTGTTTCTTTTCTGCACATTCGGCACATGTGGATCTAGTAGTGAATAAGTACCATACATTTTGTTTTGATTAAAGTACCGCAAATATCCGAAGTGACTCCAGCCTAACCAAGCCTAAAGTGATTGGATATTATAAAAAAATGTTTTTCATTTCAACCAATCCAGCTGGGTTGTTTCTAATAATATTAAAGAAGAAATCTAGACTCGAATTATGTAATGCAAATATCTAAGCAGAGGTATACATATATTTATGGCCGCCCATAAATTGGCCAAAACGGTATGCTTAGCAGCTCATGTGAGACCGCGTCGATGTCGAAAAACTCGCGCAATTGTTTTTCTTAATGTAAGTATAATGAGCATTATGTGCTCGAAATAATTAGCTGCATTTTTGTAGCGTTTTCTACTTTTTTTTTGTTGCGAAATTTGGCGATTATTAATTTTAAAATCGGGGTCAGCGACTTTAACTGCGAATTTTGGAAAAAGTCTCGTATATACGTAACGAACGCACGAAACCAAGCCTCTAAATACAAATCCGAAGGAAATGGTTGAAATTTTTACAGTTTTTTTTAAAGCCAGCCAAGGGTTGTTGACATATAAAGTTCGAAATTTTAAAAATTTGTTGTAATAAAACGTCTTAACGAGTTTTAAAAACGTAAAACGTATTAATTTACATAAAAAGGGTTAGTTACTTAATATCGAGCTTCCTATCTAGTTTAAATTAACTACGCAGGTGCCTATGCATTTTTTTCACAATAAAGATAGGAAATATTTTTGCAACTTTTTTTTTATTTTGGTATGATACTCCGTTGCAATTCTCTATTTTTTTTTAATAATTTTTTTATTTAGGATTTAATGGAAGAGACCCTATTAACCTTTATGAAGATAGCACCTTGTATGGTGCAAAAACTTCTGTTTAATTAAAAATCTAATAATTGTTCTCAATTCAGTTAGAAATTAAATTATTTAAATTAATTGACAAAATCGTTTGAATTAGCTACCAATTAGTTACAATATATATAATTTCGGCTTTTGGCGGACACCTAAAAGGTAATTACGGCGTTTATATCTATCTATTCCTATAGGTAAGTGCCGACCACTTGTGGGCTGTTATCAGCGACAGTGTTGCAGTGTTTTACAAGAAGCTTTAAAAGAAACCTGGCTAGTTACAGAAAAGCCAATATCCTAGATAATTATTATTATATATTATTGAATGAAAGAAAAAGTTGTAGTGATTTTTAATCTCACTATCTGGACAATTATGAACAAGATATGATAGGAAGCAAAATATATTCCCTTCGTCAAAAGTAGACTGTTCCTACTTTGGATTGACTGAAAATAAAGCTAAAAGAAGATAAAATCGATATAATTATTATCCATGCCACCCTCCATAGATCAGCAGATGTATAATTGACCCAGATGAAACTGGGCTCGATTCACACGATACCGTATCCAACAGATGTGTCCATTCCAGAAGAAGAGGCATTTATTTCAAACTGATTGCGTCACCACATTTTTTAGATTGTTGAGTTGATATGACAGATGTCATCCTTATAATTTTAAATGGAAATCTTTGGTTAATCTTCCTTACAAGATGGCCGCCAAATCGCAAACCTTAATTTTCGATTTGCCATTCCATCACGACAAATACCAAATAAAAGTACTACAACATCATAAAAACGGTTAACGGAATCGAAATATTTTATATATATTAGAAAACATGAAATATAAAATGTGTAGAATTATTTTCGCTCTTCTTTTGTTTTTTTTTGTTTCTTTTCTACTTCAATTTAGTGATTTTTTGGTCATCAGAAAGGTCATATTTAACACATTTAGTTAGGGATTTCGACAATTACTAATAAACCCAAATAGAAAAAGCAGCTGGTTTAAAAAAAAATGAAAAACTGAACTGAGGTAGCTTTTACTTGAAGAAAATCCATTTATGAAAATAAATATTTATTTTGAAAATGAAAGACACCTATTTGTTGATCTTCTTTTATGCGTTATATCTTATATCCGTAAAAATTCAATAATTTTGCATTCGTGAATAAATAGTTGAGCGAATACTTCCAAAAACCCAAATAAAACATCTCATCAATAAAGATCGCTATATACGAGGGCAGCGCCAAAATTTCCCGGCCTGAATATGAAAGAAACAAGGTATAGTAACAATTTTTTATTATTTTTCAATATAATCCCCCTTAACTTCAATACACTTATTACAT